AGGGAGAGGGGAAGGGGACGAGAGGGCCGTGGATCCACCAATGATTTGATACAAGGCGGCCTTGTGACACACACTGCGTTCGCAACTTCACTGAAACTTTTTGATTTTTAGAATTACTTAATTGGTTTGCAAGGAATTATTGCAGTAGTTATATTGCTGCTGGATATGGTTTCTTTTTAGAAGCGCATTGTTGAACTTCTTACCTTTTTTTCTTGGGTAAATCTCCGGCTGGTTGCGTGCACGAGCGATATCGGCTAATTGTGCGCACGAGCGACACCGTAGAGCGTCAGAGAAGTTGCTGTTCCAGTCTTTCATTGAACAGTCGGGGATTACTCTTCTGTTTTCGTTGGCGATATGTGTTAGCATGATTCCATAAGTTTATTCCCACACCATATGTGTGTAAACGTGGAAATTCGAGCAGAATACTGTTGGCATTTCCATTTCGTGAACCAGAAAACATAGAAAACTGAAAATTTAGGGTGATGTTTTCTGTCAGTGAGTAACCTTGGAAATTTAAACTGCGATTTTACGCACACCGAAATCTCACACACACCAAAGGTGGCATCCAATCTTCTGGCAAAAATAGATGGCTGAAATTTTAGGAGGATGTGTTCAGTTCATGTCGATGTTGGAAACTTGAATTCGGCTGCCACATGCGTCTGCATATCAGGTATGAAAATATGGAAATTAAAATTGCTTCCATTCTGTTCCGACAAGAAAGAAAGCTGAAATTTTAAGGTTGCTGAAAATTGAAATTCTGCTTCTGCTTATGGCCGGGTTTTATTAACGGACAAGCGAGATTTTTGTTTTTTACACATTTCAAACTGTAAAGCAACCAGCATTTCTAACAGCGAGCGTTTAGCGGACGGAACTGCGCAAAATGGCTGCTTTGGTGGTCGCCGGTTTGATTATGGCATTTTATCAGCGGTGATAAAAATACATGAAGAAAACAAGAGTGCCTTTTTTAGTTTCTTGGATATTCTTTTTGTATAGCTCATGAAAATTCCTTCAGCACTGTGCGATGACCTTTGCTATTCAGCTTTCCCATTCATTCTTTTCGCTCAACAAGGGCTTTTTATTATTATTACAATAGCCTCGAATAAATATTGTTATGCGCCTCTCTCTGCATACCATGATACACAGACCTACACTATACTATTTCATACCAGTAATGATATAAAAAGCTACTTGCACTGAACGCTACTGCTAGTCATTCTTCCGCTTTTGTTAAATATTTGTGGACACTTTTGGAGTGCTTCCCATTGACCTTCAAAATTGCCAGTAGGTCCATCTTTGGCCTACGCGTTCGTCACAAAATAATTTGCGTTGGACGATAAAAACCACTTTTGCATTCAGTTGCACCGCGCAGCCATAATAGAATACATTATTTATTCACTTTCGTTCACAGAAGCGAGAATATCGTGCATAAATTATTCCCACTTTTTGCAGCCGATAACAACAACCTCATGCTACGAGCGAATCCCATATGTTGTTTTCTCATATCATCTTTTGCTTTCCGCTTCTGTAAAGGTTTTCGCCGTTTTTCGATATTCACTTAATAATGCTGGAAGGGTAAAATACCAAGCATTTTCGCGTTCATCGGCTATATTTTTCATTCCTTTCAGCATTTTCCTAGTCAGGCACAGTATCTGAATTTAAAGCCTCCCATTCATCACAACCTTACCCTCACTTATCCTCCCATAACCTACACTCTTGTCTAATCCCCTGTACCCACATAACCTACACTTTCCCGTTTTTCCGCTAAAAATAAGTTCATCTAAGCTACAGAGGTTTTGCCTCATTTGGTCAGTTTCAGCTTGCATACTGCTTAATTCACTGACTGGGCTTGGACTTGCCCGGGGGGAGGAATGTGGCAACTGGAAAGAAGCTCGCTTCTGTGGCTTCTTACAGTTTTCGAATTTCGAAAGTTTCGGTCACATTAGAAGAGGTTGAAATCGGTATTTTGTCGGTTGTTCAAAATTCGCAGGACTAATAATTAGCGGCACGCACAAAGGATTGCCAGTGCGTTCATGCTTTTTTTTCACGATTTCGTGAAGCAGTCGGTTTGTTAACAGTGTGAATGGTTGTTGTTTTCCGGTTTGTTCTGGAAATTCGTTTTGGAACTGGTCCTTTCATGCATTTAGAGCAGTAATGTTGTACTGTGGAGCCTCGCAAAATTTCAACTTTCTAGCGTGTGTAGTCACACTGTGGGGAAAGATGCACATAGTTTTGCAATTCAGTGATTGTCAGATCCGTTCGTGAAACATGGACCTTCATGGAAGCTGGTATCAAGCTTTTGCACTGGATACGCCAGTATTCTCGCAAAATTTCGGCCTTTTTGCCTCTCTGATTATTCGAAGCGAAAGACAACGTTGCAGTTTGAACATCTGACTCGTCCTACACTCGGGGCGCATGCGTAAACAAAAGCTCATTTAACGCTTAGCACATTCTCATAAAAGGGCGATTTTCTGCTTAGTTTGGTTGTGCGGTAAATTGGAAGCCAATACTCGCTAACGCTGCATGACAGGATGACCACATTACATGCTGCAGCTGGCCAAACTAAGTAAATCTCTATATATATATATATATATATATATATATGTTCAACGAATTTGAATATTGTTTTTCTTGCCTGTGAATGACACCTGGTCGCGAGGCAGTGCTTTGAAGAGCACACCTTTTCGTCCTGGTCCCTCTCTATCTCTGGATATCGCTGTGCCTGTCTGCCAAGCCATCAAGCTAACGGGGCAGCATCCATGAAATGGTCTGAACAGAATGGGAACATCTGTACACCATATCTGTGGCTTGCTCCGATCGTCCCTCGTCCTATATCCATCGGTGGAACGCTTCGATGAATCAAAAACAACACGAAATCGGACGATATTACTATTGTAGGAGTTCGATTCGGTTGCCAACCCCAAATTATTTGTTTGCGCCGGTGCTTGCTTGACCATTTGTTATCCAGTTTTTTATTTAGGGATCAGCTTGCTGTTTGATTTTGAGCTTTCTTATCAGCCGATTCTGCCGGGTCGTAAAGCCAGACTTCCCCCAATCCGTAGCTTTATTTGTTTCTACCGTAGGTACTTTCCAGAGCACTTAGTGGAAAACGAGTTTTCTATTTTTAGCAGGGATAATTTTTTTGGCGCACCCTATTCCAGATTAGTAATGGGTTTTCGGCAAATTCATTCATTGTTATGCTTTTCCTGGTCTGTCTTGCTTCAGGCAACCTGTGTCACACTGTTCTGGAGTATGCGATCAAAGTGTCCCGTACATCTCCGCATGAAAAATGTGTTGCGGGGGAGAAGAGGAGGGAAAGTTTACCTTCTACGTTCACATACTGGTTGAGCTGGATCAAACTGTAGCGAATGCTTTCCATTATTACAGTAAAATAACTCAAAATGACAATCATTTTTTGCAAAATTTGCTAGTATTATGCGGTATTTTCCATTTACATTGGCCATCTGTTCCCCTATCACATTAATAAGTATCATGAACGATTCCGGTATTGCCATCATCCTAGGACAGAATTACTTATCTTCACAGCTCATTCATTTCCTTTGCTCCATTTATCATCAAGCTTTAAGTAGATTAAGTCGTTTTCCATAGTTACTATTGCTGAGGAGCTGTCTCTTCGAAACACATACGCGCTGGGCTACATTTCAACTTTTGAATAAAAAGTTGTCTGTGATCACACAACTTTCTTTCTGATTCAGTTTTTACGCTTGGCACTATAATTCGTGTACAGTAACATTTCGATAGTTAAAAAATGAAGCAACAAAAAAAGCAGTTGCTGCTACATTGCTACCTTATCGAAAAATTCGACCACATGTTTGGTTAATCTTAATCTGCAGAAATATTCTAAAAACCCCATTTCACATGATAGCACCGCCTGGCT